TCCTCCTCCTTCTTCTCCGATTTCTACTCTTCCTCTACCGTACGTGTTTTCACTTCCCTCCTCTCCCACTCCCTCTTTCTTCGCTCCCCCACCCTTCGTCTGCTCACCCTCTGCTTTCTCGCGTTTTTCCCCCATGTCCTGTATTCTTCCCCTTACATAATTCCCTCTCTTCCTCTAGTGTTCTCTCACTCCCTATGCCTTCTATTCGTTTTTTTTCCCCTTATCCTATTGCTATCTTCCCCTTCTTTCCCCTCTGTAATTCCCCTGCCGTGTGAACTAAAACTTATTTCGAAAAAGTCCTCTGAATATGAAAATGTGAAATATGAAGAAGTCGGATTTTTTTTATTTTTATTCGGAGTTCCCTTCCTCTCTCTACGTCATCATATCTACGTAACGTTCATCTCTGTCTGTCGTTATCTATGTATCTATTTATTCATTTTTTTGTGTGTTTAGGTTTTCGGTGAATGTTTCTGTGTATTTTTGTTAATAGTGTTTTATCTATCTTTTCTATATGATCTTCTTATCTTCATATCTTCTTATCTTTAATTTTGATTTCATTCCTCTGTATCGCTTCCAGAAAGTAAGAGTAACAAGACTATCTAGCAATCAATTAACCTATCTATCTATTTCTCTATTCTTTTTCCATTTCTTGCTTATGTAACTGCTGTCTCGTCTCCTACCCCCCCCCTCCCTCCCATTCCAGTACTCCGAACCCCCACCCACCTTTCACCCGAGCCTGACCCACCCTAAGCCCACCTTCCTGCCCCCCCCCTCCCCCACTTCTTCCCTTACCCCCCTCCCCCACCCCACGTCATTAGGACTCTAATCCTCCCCTTCCCCCCCTCCTCCTCCTCCTCCCCCGCCACCTTCACCCCAGCCTTTCCCTCATGACATGACATTTTTATTTCATTTTCATTTTTTTTTGTTATCTTTTCTCTCGACTTCAGGATCTCCCAAGTTTCTCTTACACATATTCTCTCCTTCATCTCCCTCCCTCTCTCTCATTTTCATTCAATCTCCGTCTCGCTCATTCCTTCTCTCTCTTTCTCATTCAGTCTCCCTCTCGCTCAACCTCTCTCTCTCTCTCTCTCTCTCTCTCTCTCTCTCTCTCTCTCTCTCTCTCTCTCTCTCTCTCTCTCTCTCTCACTTTCTCTCATCATTCATCTCCTCTCTCATCATTCATTCTCCTCTCTCTTATTCCCTCTGTTCTCTCTCATTCCCTCTTTTATCTCCCATTCCCTCTTTTATCTCCCATTCCCTCTTTTATCTCCCATTCCCTCTCCTGTCTCTCATTCTCTCTCTAACTCTTGCTCTCATTCTAACTCCCTCCCTCTCCTATCTCCTCTCTCTCATTCCCTCTTTTCTCTCTCCCATTCTCTCTACTCCTTCTCTCTCTCTCTCTCTCTCTCTCTCTCTCTCTCTCTCTCTCTCTCTCTCTCTCTCTCTCTCTCTCTCTCTCTCTCTCTCTCTCTCTCTCCGAGGACGTGACCAACGGAATCTCGCAGCGAAAGACACAGGCGCTCTTTCGTACGTCTCTTGCGTTCTTCCTTCCGTCCTCATTATCGTAGGCTGTTATGTCTGTATTTTTTGCCCGTCTTATCTGGCAATTTGCATTTCATTTCCCGGCGAGCACACGCGCGCTATACAAACAAACACGATCACATACACACACACACACACAGACGTTCACACAAAACGCTAGTGTGTGTGTGTGTGTGTGTGTGTGTGTGTGTGTGTGTGTGTGTGTGTGTGTGTGTGTGTGTGTGTGTGTGTGTGTGTGTGTGTGTGTGTGTGTATGTGTGTGTGTGTGTGTGTAAGTATGTATGTGTGTCTGTAAGTATGTATGTGTATGTATGTATATATGTATGTATGTATATACATATATACATTATATACATATATATATATATATATATATATATATATATATATATATATATATATATATATATATATATATGCATATATATATATACATATATATATACATTTACATATATCCAGTTTCCCCATTCTCGTCTCCCCGTCCTTCTTCCCCGCTTCCTTCCCGGGCCCTTTCACCCCTCCCCCCCTCCCGGCCTCCCCTATCCGTCTCCTCACTCCCACCCTACTGCCACGTTCCCATGTTCCTCTCTCTCTCTCTCTCTCTCTCTCTCTCTCTCTCTCTCTCTCTCTCTCTCTCTCTCTCTCTCTCTCTCTCTCTTTACTTAATTCTGTAACTTTTCCTTCTCTCCTTCGTCACTTTCTACGCACGTTTACATTTTTTCAACTTCCCGCCTCGTTCATTTTCTATTTTCTGGAGAATCCATTTCACTCTTTTAGAAGTACAAGATTCTCATAATTATATAATATATATATATACATATATATATATATATACATATATATATATATATATATATATATATATATATATATATATATATATATATATATACATACACACACACACGTACATATACACACACGTGTGTGTGTCTCAGAATGCTACGGATATGATCATAAGATTTCATATTCATGATTGCGATAGGTTTGACTATGACTACTTATTCGTATACACGTCCGTGTCTGTATGTAGTATAAATGTATTTACAAATGTAAAATGGTATGTATGTATGTATGTATGTATGTATGTATGTATGTATGCATGCATATATGTAAATATGTAATACATGCCCATATTTGCGTGTGTGCAGTATGTATTTATATATCTGTCATTTACGCAAGGTCTTCTTGTTTCATTTCTTATTGTGTCTGTTTCTTTTGTTTCCTTCCATCTTATGTAATAACTACGCAAACGAACAACCAAACGTCCAGCCAACGCCTCTCCAACTCTCCTTTCCCAACTCCTCGCCTCCTTCGCCCTCTCCTTCTCTCCTTGCCTCCCTCGCTTCCTCTTTCCCTCCTCACACCCCTCTCTCCCCTCTACCCCCACCCCCCAACCCCCATCCCTCACAAACACCCTCGCCACTCCCGTCCCCCTCGCTATACCACTAGGCCCTTACCCTCCCTCCCCCCACTCTATCCCCCCCCCGTCCCGTACCCTCCCCCACTCCCTTCTCCCTCGCCCCTACCCTCCCCATACCAACCCTCCCTCACCCCCCCCCCCCTCCGCGGCCGCCTGTCCCTCCCTCCCTTCCCGAGATAGGCTGTCTCCCCGGCCGGCCTGACCTCTATCTTCAACCTAGACTTTCTAATCACTTTACAAAACTGTTTTAATAGAGTAAATTGATAAGAGGATGAATGTGCCTCGTCCTCTGCTTTTGTTGCATTTCTCGAGTATTTGGTCTGTATTCTAGACACGCTAAAATAATTTCACAGTCTCTCTCTCTCTCTCTCTCTCTCTCTCTCTCTCTCTCTCTCTCTCTCTCTCTCTCTCTCTCTCTCTCTCTCTCTCTCTCTCTCCATTGTTTAATTATTTTTCAATCCATGGAAATTTATGTTACAATGTGTCGTAAATCATGTATATATGTCTGTGTATGTGTATATTTATATGTATATAAATGGATATATATGTATATGTATATATGTGTATGTATATATAAACATACATATACATATATTAAATATAAATATATATACATATATAAAGAAATATATAATACGTATTTACATTTATATATACACACACATATATAACGTGTGTATATATACAGATGTATGTGTATTTCTATCCATCTATCTATATCTAAATGTGCACAAACACACATACAAATGCATACACAACCACACATACATCTGATCGTGTATATGTATACATATGTATTATGTATGTGTATAATAAATAAATAAATAAATATATATATATATATATATATATATATATATATATATATATATACATACATACATATATATATATATATATATATATATATATATATATATATATATATATATATATATATATATATAATATCAAAATCTTTCCGAAAGTGTATATAGGGTAGCGTTACTTGTTCCCCGTCTTGCCTCTCTCTCCCTCTCTCTCTCTCTCTCTCTCTCTCTCTCTCTCTCTCTCTCTCTCTCTCTCTCTCTCTCTCTCTCTCTCTCTCTCTATTTCTCTCTCTCTTCCCCCCCCCCCCTCTCCTCTCTCTCTCTCTCTCTCTCTCTCTCTCTCTCTCTCTCTCTCTCTCTCTCTCTCTCTCTCTCTCTCTCTCTCTCTCTCTCTCTCTCCCTCACATTCCACTACCCTCTCTCAACCCCAACCAGCAACCCCTCTCCGAGCAGCAAGGACATATACCACTTTCTCCTCGCCTCATTCTCTGTAAATTATATAAACAACCTTTTTTCAATTATATTTTTGCGGACACTCATCTCGTAGGAAAAGATCTAAGCAACCGGACTCGTGAGTGAAATTGGAAAAAGAGCGAATCGATCACGCATTTTAAAAAATATGTTCTCTAAATGAGTGAAATGGAATTTAAGCCATTCTAGCACCTAGATTTAATTCATTTTCTCTTCGGCGTAAGAAGGGCTCGCGTAGCGGGGCCCCCAAGTGAAATACGGGACGCACTCCCACGGCTCATGCCTTTCTTGTCCGGAGCTCAGTCCCCCCCACTCCCCCCTTCCGCGCCCCCCAACCCCCGCGTGTCTCGCTCACCCGCAACCTACGAGAATTTTCATTGATTTCGTTCACTACGACTCGGATATTTACTTTTTATTTTTACAATATGGTTAGTATACCTTTGCTAGCGTGCGTTTTATATGGAAACATTTAAATCAATACTGTCTACAGTTGACGGAAAATGAAAGAGTGAGATTCGAGGAAAGAAATTCGTAAAATGTTTGGTTCACAAGTACCTAGATTTATGGAAACCGTGTGTGAGAAAGGTTCGCCCAGAACTTCCTCGAGTGTATCATGCCGACGCTGCTCCCCAACGTTCAAATCTCCCGCGCATGACGTCACAAAACCGCCAGCCAATGGGAGCGCGAGCTAACTCTCACGTGACTCGCGAAGTCCAAGCAACAGCTATGGAGAGATTCTCTCGCCAGTCAAGATGGAGGACAGTGGAGTGGACAGATTGTGTCCACAGACTACACATATTTCGTGTTTATACCCAGAGATCTTGGCACTCATATTCAGTTACTTGGATGTAAAAGACAAGGGTCGAGTGGCACAAGTGTGTATTAACTGGCGTGACGCGGCTTATCATAAAAGTGTGTGGAGAGGAGTCGAGGCGAAGCTCCACCTGCGTCGGGCCAACCCGTCTTTGTTCCCGTCGCTGGTGCGTCGAGGTGTCCGCCGCGTGCAGGTGCTGTCGCTGCGACGGTCGCTCAGGGATGTCATCAGCGGCGTGCCCAACCTTACCTCCCTCAACCTCTCCGGCTGCTACAACGTTACGGACATCGGCCTCACGCACGCCTTCGTCACCGAATCTCCGTCACTCACGCACCTCAACCTCTCGCTCTGCAAACAGATCTCGGACTCCTCCTTGGGCAAGATCGCTCAGCAGCTGAGGAACCTCGAAGTCCTGGAGCTCGGAGGCTGCTCGTACATCACCAACACGGGCCTCCTGCTGGTGGCCTGGGGCTTGAAGAAGCTGCGGAGACTTAACCTCAGGTCATGCTGTCTCGTGAGTAATCAGGGCATCGCCTACCTGGCGGGGCAGCACCAGGAGGCCGCGGACGGCACCACGGCCCTCGAGTACCTTGGCCTCCAGGACTGCCAGAAACTGTCCGACGAGGCCCTCAGACACGTGGCCAACGGCCTCCCTAACCTCAAGAGCATCAACCTCTCGTTCTGTGCCAGTATCACAGACTCAGGACTCAAATACCTTGCGCGAATGCCCAGCCTCCGCGATCTCAACCTGAGATCATGTGACAACATCTCCGACATCGGCATCGCGTACCTGGCGGAGGGCGGCTCGAGGATCACCGGCCTCGACGTGTCCTTCTGCGACAAGATCGGCGACCAGGCCCTCGTGCACATCTCGCAGGGCCTCTTCACGCTGCGCTCGCTGTCGTGCTCGGCGTGTCAGATCAGCGACGACGGCATCCACCGGATCGCGCGGACGTTGCACGAGCTCGACACGCTCAACATCGGCCAGTGCGTCCGGGTGACCGACAAAGGCCTGCAGCTGATAGCCGAACACCTCACCAACCTCTACTGTATCGACCTCTATGGTTGCAACCGCATCACCACGGTAGGCCTCGAGAGAATCATGCAATTGCCTCGCCTCTCTGTCCTGAACCTGGGCCTCTGGCACAAGCATAGGCGGTGACGCAAGCCCAACCTAGGTCAAGCTAACCAATCTACCCGCCGCCTCCTCAGCCCTACGAGGCACTCAAGGTCGCCCTACTGCCACCCCTGATGGCACCGGAAGGGCGAGCGGTCGAGTGGCGCGCGGCGGGCCCTCATCACTTCTACGGCTGTGCTATATAAGATAGATTAGAATTCACTGGTTCTTCAACACTACGTTCCGCCCCGCCTCGACGTGGAAGTCCGGGGAAGCCAAAAAACGGAAAAAAGTGCTAAGTGCAGTGTAATGAAACATCGAACATCCAGAAAAAAGGCAGTGTTTTAGTGAAACATCATGAAAATGTTCCCTCAACTCCCCCTGTCATTCACCCCCCCCCTTTAAACCGCCATGCTGTGCCATGTGATTCATCTTCAGAAACAAAACAAAACAATTCTCTCCGTAAATTTTTCTGTTTTAAGAAGAATTTATATATCCACATATTTATATATATTTACTTATCGGATAGATACAACGAAAATGGCATTACACGAACTGTCTAAGTGTCCATCTCGCCTTAAAGGTAATCTTCAAGGTGATTTGTAAAAAAAAAAATCCTCGGGAATCCTTGGAATTGGCACCGGATCAGTGCCAATTAACCCCTCCCCCCTTCTCCATCCCAAGTGTCAAAAAATCGGGACCCTTGGTAGCAAGTGAGTGAGCAATGCCATTGGATTCTCAGACTTCACTGACAATATGTATATAAATGTAGTTCCGTGATAATCTATGTGATATGTGTGTCTGTGAGAGTGAGAAAACGACCAAGACTGGGGCTTCACCTGGTTAATGAAGCCTGCGTGTGGAAGCGAAGTGTGCATGGTTGTAAGTATTGTATGTATCGTGATGCAATATTGTCGCTTCTTATGTAAATATAGATTTTAAAGAACTCCCGAGCGAGAGGTTTAAACGCCTTATCCCTCCTCCTCCCCTTCTTCCCCCCACCCCCCTCCCTCACACCTTCACACGGCATGAGGAAGAGAGAAAAAAGTTTTTAGGTACCTGGAATATGTGAAACCTGATGTCAGAACTTAGATGTCCAAATAAAATGGATTTCCAAAGCAAATGAGAATGCAAGTGTCATGACTATAACATTTTTCTTTATTATTTTAAAGTTAGTGCCATTCAAGGGGTCAAAGCCATGTTATGTGGGACAGAGCTTTAAGGTTAGGGAAACAGGGAGAGTTACGCTAAACTATTCGACTAAAAAATCCGTATAGTAAACTTTAAAGAAGAGTAAAAACGTATTGCAATTTGTGATGGTCGACTTACGTCCAAATTTTACTCCAGACTGATATGTTATCTTGCAGTTACCTCCCCCCTCCCCCTCACCCGCTCTCTCCCCCTATGCATCGGTCAGTATTTTCTAAACATTTCACTTACATCAGGGTTGTGTTGTAAACCCATTTTAAGGGTTGGCGTGTGGCCCCTAAACCCTGTCGACAATCCTGATTTCCTTTGGTGTTCTGTGTCCACTTCTGAGATTACATAGTGTATTTTTTCTCCAATTATATTTTTGTGCATTTTAAGTTATAATATATATTTTTCTTTGGTATGTTCCCCCCTTGCTAAAGCTGTCAAAGCTATGGGTATAAACAATGTTTGTTTTTCGCTGCACTGGAGTTTTGCATAAGGTTCTGAGGCTGCTGACTGGCCATAGTCCATGACTCAGTCCATCAGAATGCTTACTTGAACTTAATCTGAAGTCAAGCGCTCAGGAGAACGGCAAACACGACTTATGCAGTGATGGTTTACTTGTACTCCCAATCATACTTACTGAAATGTTTCATATTCACTGTGAATGTCCCTCATTGCAAAAAGTAAACAGCCGGACCACACTCGCGCAGTAAAGGTTGTGTTTCACCTTGATTAACTGTAAAAAAGGCATGTTTGTTTAATAGGTTCTTTACAACTTTTGATTGGCTGTGCATTTTTTTGCCTAGTCAGAAGCTAGGAATTGTTTGTAAAAATAACAAACATGCCTTTAACATCTTGTCCTATGTCGTTCACGAGAGAGGATTAATTATCAGATGTCAAGTGTGTTCAATTATTTTTATTTCTGTCGTATCAGAGTTGTCGGTATTAGAATCTTTGAAATGTCTAGGCAATATGATTTCATGCTGAGAAGACTTTCTGCCATTATTTTGATTAATAATAACTTGAATGTCATGATTTCTAGTTTTTCTGGGTCAGTATAAATGTACTTCAGCTGGTGCTTACTCAGTACTTAAATAGATCATGAATCTTGTAATAGTTTACTCGTTATGCAATGACAGTGTCACCTGCTCTGAAATACAGTATAACTCTGGACTTGACATTGTTTTTCTTTTGCATTACGCTGCCGCTGTCAAGTCGTGCAATCCCATTCGGGTATTACATAAATCTCCCCCAAACAAGTAATCAGACTTTGTGCAATTCTTCTTCCACCCACACTGGCGGCGGCGAATCCCCTCCGTCAGTGGTGGGCGCTTGCGCACACCTGCGACACACCTGCATCCGCGCCCACACCTGCCGTAACCCTCTCGCTCGAGGTTCTCACCGCTGTCGGTGTCCCTGAGCTGGGAGGGGGGAGGGGGTGACGTATGCAGCTTCTCACACACACACACACACACACACACACACACACACACACACACACACACACACACACACACACACACACACACACACACACACACACGTTTAACTGTCCTACGAACCTCTTATTGATTCAAAAGTTAGTATCCAAGCTGCTTTCCCTTTCCCGATCGAGCAGGTGTATGTGCCCAATGTCAGTATACATAATCATGACTTTCAAGTTATCTTTACATTCATGTACTACATATTTATTATACTTGGCAGAAATTCTTTCGTGTTCAAAGGGAAAAGTATGAGCCAAAACCTCTACCGCAATGAAATCTTTGTTTGTCCTGTAAAACCGAATGCCAAACTTTTGTCAAAATGCCATGTCAATGATATTGCTGTGACCCCTCTCAACTGGTGTGTGTACCCGCCTTCCATGCACACCTGCTCGGCCTCTGCTAAGTCATGCTCTTGCACGTTCATTTCCCTGTAGGCTGCGTGTGCGCTGCCATGCAGGGTATGCACACGTACGTGCACGCGGGTGAACGTGCAGGAAGCCATGCACAGTGCGGGGCTGTCCCGAGCGCGGGTTGGGCGGGGTATACGCTCCAACCTTACGGGTACTTGCTCAATGCTTCACCTCCACATCGGCAGTATTACTACCTTCACGCCGGGCACTACCAGCGCTCTCCCATGCCTCACGTCGCCAAAGTCATTTCCTGTCATTATCCGCTTCACCACGTCAGCTGGAGCCGACTTTTCACTACACACGTCTAGCGTATGGTCTGATTTACGTGAATCAATATATAGTGATTGGATTTTTTTTCCAGATCTAAACAGTTGATATGTTCATTTTCAAAATCTTGTTAATTAACGAAGGCATTGCTAGAGACGCGTCGAGTTCAGAGAGGTCGGGAGAGAGACATTCCTCTTGCGACGTGAATGGAGATCGCTGGTGCTGCCTGGCTTCCCCCTTACTCCATCATGCATCCTTCCACCCCGTATTAATAACATAATTGTGCCAGTATAAAATCAAAATTTCCCTCCCTGCCCCTCCC